ACGCTCGATCATGGTTAATAACTTTTGTTGTCATTCCCAGATTGACGTGCCTGTTTTGTTTAGCGTTTCCAAGAACGGTTGACAGCGGATCATCCGCAATAATATTCGAATCTCGCTACGGATGGCAATCGAACGACCGGCACTTTCAAATTCATTGGCTGCGATTTGCTAGTAAAAGTTTCCATGAAACATTCTAAATAATTAAAGTAAAACATTTTACAATCACGTGCGTATCGTCTGGTATATATTATTATTGTAATTCAAGATCAAATTAATTTTTTTTAATAGAACAATCAATGGTTCTTTTTTTTTATGACACTTTTGTAGCAAATTTCTTTGCAACAACTAGAACCACAAAAGTATTGGACATAATTTATTGCAACATATCTAAAATGTCTTCGTAAGTTAAATATCTGATGTACTAGTACGCTAAACTATTGAAACTCAATTTACTGAATAAAATTATTTTCTAACATTCTCTTAACTTCGAGACGAGATTATTACTTGTTGTTGTAAAATGTAAGAAATTACGTTGTACATATAATCTGAATCGTTATTGATACAAACAATAATCTTCTGTTGTCACTTGTAATATTCAAATTACGCGAACTATGTCATGTATGGTTTACGAAAAATTAACTAAGGTGTTGGCTAGAACCAAGTCTTGGACGATCTGTTTTTCCAAAACACGATTCGGCTAGGATGCTGCTAATTTCCAGCAACCTGGCAAACGTGTCCTGAGAATTCTCGATGACTGTGTACGACCAAAGTCTCACAGGAGTGCCAGTGTGCTTGCCAAGCACTTGGATAACGTCCTTCAGCAAATGCAAGCCCTACGAAGAGCCAGATGGTTCCTGTGTCCGGGATATGCAGCTGCAAAGATGTTTAAGTACCTGGAAATTCTCCTTGGGAAATCAAATTTTCACGTTATTGATTTCGATCGATTTTTCACCAGTTTTAAGAGGATAGGGGATATTTCCATTCAGAGTCATCGATCTTTGGACAATTTATTCGTTGGATACAAAATTATTAAGTTGTTAAATTGTTATTCCATGGTTTTTCTGGACTAAAGAGAATTAAAGCCATTTTATAATGACATTTTATTTACGAAAATAATTATTTAATTCCATGTTCCATCATCGATCAAAAATAAACGCAAAGATCCCTTTGACACATATCTTCTTTGCGCAATTTCATTGCAGGAATCGAATGAAAACTGTTAAACTTTTCAATTAGTTGTAAATTAATTGTAATTTCCCGACTATTATCTTTTCTGCTATTACGAAATGCAACGTATTGCACTGAATCTTTTATTCCATACTTCTTTGCATAAATTTATTTTCTCGGAGGTAGAAAAAAAATTCCATTTAAAAAGGAGTGCTTATTTTACACTGAAGGAATGAAAATTGTGTAAATTTTCTACGAAACGTTACCTCCGAGATGTGAAATCGAAACATGAATCATTCGGTGAATTTCTAAATATTTGTATACGAGGAAGAAAGTTACACTTGTTAAGAAAATAAGACGATTGTGTAAAAATCGTTATTTATTTTCTTTACACTTTTTTTTTCATATCAGTATTATTTATTTTTCAATGCTCTAATCAGTAACTTAAGTTTTAAACAATGCTGATTTAAAAAATATATATATTTTTAACTTGGATATTTTCCTCCAAAATATTTCCTCCAAATAGTTTTTTCAAAAGTATGACAATCCAAGACTTTTATAATATTATATAATCAAATATTATTAAATTATAAATTTATATATTATATAATCAAATAATTGTTAAAACTGTGTAACAAAGTTAAAATGTTAACATACGAACCTGAAACAGAAAAGAGATAATTTGAACATTAAAAGTTCAATGAAAGTTAACAATTTCATTCGATTTCTCTGTCGAAAAATTACTTTCTTTCCTCACTCATTTTTTGTACGAAATTTACAAGTATGTATAATAAAGTAAATTTTAAATGACAATACTGTACACGATAAATATTGGTAAATAATTTTGTGTTTGTTATAATAATCTATTAACCACATTCCATTTTTTTTTTTTTTGTTACAGGTACGTGATTTCCATCTAAACGCTTATTTACTGTAGTTCTTTAGGTGAGTGAATGATTTAACTATATTTGATCGACAAAAACTATCTTCATTTTCAATAAAATAACAGTAGAATACTAAACCTAATAAAATTTGTTCAGATTTATTAATTAAGCGTTGGATAAGTTTAAATAATTGAATAATCTCGAATAGAGAGTTCATTAGACTAGATAGAATTAATTCAATTGTATTTTATTTTCTAAACTATCTCGTGAAACTTTGGTGAAACTTCGTCTCTTTATCCCGGCAGAATACTTTTGCCAAAGAGGTGTCTGTTTGAAAGAAACTTACGTTCGCGATTAAACAGAGTAATGTCACTTCATACTTCGTCCGTGATTGTATTATTCATTATAATACGTCCCATGTGGTAGACTCGTAAAGTCGTATAGTTTCGCTAGTCAAAATGTTGACAATTCGAATTACGTAAATCTTCACGATAATCAAGATTCTTTTGCTAGGCTGTTTTTCATTCCTCCGGATCGATTTACTGCAGGAACTTTTATTCTATTTTTTGGATATCTTAATCTTTTCTCGGTTATACCATAAGAACTAGGACACCCTGTGTAGAAGGGTGGCTTCTTTGTAGCTGATTCAACGTTCGACTCGATTTAATGCATCATAAAACGATCGTGGATATAGATTCTTCCCGAATTTCGCGACGGAGTCATACTTCACGGGAACGATGTCGTCACTAGCAGGATAAAAGCTCCTCTTCATTGTTCCGCTTCCATGGGGATGATCAAATACTTCACCTGAGCAACGTCTTTACGTCGATTCAACGGGAACTGTCATTTTTGTTCTGGCCATTCTTTTCGTTCCAGCCATTGGCTCAGAGATCGTTCAATGTTCACAAAAAAAAAAAAAAACAATCGCGATGGATGAAGGCTGCATTTGCACAATCTTGCCTTACGATTTCTTTTCTCAACTCTCAGTGAACGTTAGTCAGATGTAAAAATCACTGAAAGCGTTATAATATATAATTTGTATTTATTAGTCTTTCGTTTGAAGAATTAAAACTCATACTCCACGGAACTGCAATTCGCTTTTTCTTTCAGATCGAAACTGTTCCTACGACGAGCCTACCTCGATATTACAACTCGAACGGTTAAACGAGTCTTGCAAACATTTGATTTTTCTGTCTTTCTAATCAAAAATCGTACAGCAAATTTTTATAGAGTTTGAAGACGAAAAAATTTTTAGAGACGTTTGATTCTTTTTATAATCTTCGAGAATAAAAGTATCGTTGCTTTGCCCATGTGAGAACATTTTGCATTGCAAACATGAAAACTTTACGTTCTAAAATGGAATTAAATAGATTATTATGTGATTTTTTTTTTTTTTCAGAAAGTTATAACAGTTTGAAATATTGGTAATTCTTATCGATATTTGTATATATCCTTATAGAATGTATGTGAAGCCAAAGTTAACTCCACTTTTTGAATTCGTTTAAAGTTTCAATGTCAAAATACTTGATTAATGCTGATTAATACTTTTTATGTCAAAAATGAATTTCCTTGTAATTAGGTTTAACACCACAAGAAACTTTTTTTGCCGTTGAACGACAAATAATTTTGTTTCAAAAAACTAATGCAATTGTTCTGACGACGTAATACTTTAAATTTTTATACGTTTTATACGTCGTTAGATAGAAAACTATTTCGTAGTAGCTAGTTTGCAATAATACAATATTTATTCGAGTTTGAATTTGAAGAAAGAACGTAACGTTGTTCTTTCTGTGACTTTTTGTTTTGTGAACCTAATCGATCAAATTATACACACACACACACATGTATCAGAAATAACGAAATAAATGAAAGTCATGCTGCATCGAAGATCGTTGCGTCTTGTTCCAAAATTAATTTAATTAAGAAGCTACATTAATATCTGCACTAAGGCAAATAATTTTAATAATCATATGTCACTCACTATCTCTATCTAAAACTACAATATATATGATGACGATTAATCTGTAGTTGGATCTTTAACTTTATTTGCGATGAGAACGTTATTTCTTGCTCTTTAAAAATACATAGAAAGATCTAAGAAGGAAAGAAACGACGTTTTCCTTCTCTAAGTCTTTCGTAACGAGAAGAAAAGAATGATATCGTTCTGCGAGCTTATTCCTCGACCGAGAACAAAAATTTCCACCGCCGTGCCACGCGTTTCAAACGATAACAACCGTATCACGCGAAAGGGATCGGGAATCGAGAAGAAGCAAAGGGAGAATTTTCCAAAAGAAATCACTAAGCTTGGTTCATGGTCGAGAGAGGTGTTCGCGGAGAGAGGGAGAGAGATGTGAAGAGCCGGTGGTCGCGTATCGCGAAGGTGTAGGACGAAAGTGGGAGAGAGCGTCCGCATAAACCGGATGTCCCAGGCTTCGCTAGGCGGCGTAATATCGTAAAGCCGATTTCAGTGGAAAAAGGGTGGCGCGTTGCTGGCCCGCTTAT